GCGTCTGGGTCTCCGCGGGACAAGGCCTGTCCGGTGTGAGACGCGACCCTCCCCAGGTGCTTCATGAAGGTGAGCCGGCTGGAGGCGCAGCTGCTGCTGGAGCGCTACCCCGAGTGCGGGAACCTGCTGCTGCGACCCAGCGGGGACGGCAAGGACTGCGTGTCCGTCTCCACGCGCCAGACGCTCAGCGGGTGCGCAAGCGCAGCTCCGAGGCCGGCGGTGGGGGTTGCGGGGGGTGGGGGGGTGTCGAAGGAGGGGCGTGGTCAGACGTAGGGGCGGAGCCGAATCCTAGAGCGAGTTCGCCCGGGGACGAGGCCGAGCGGGGACCGGGGAGGGTTTGGGGGCGGGGCCAGAGGTCAGGGCAGGATAGGGCGTGGCCGGTGTGCGGGAGGCGGAGACAGAGCGAGGGGCGGGGCCTCCTGGTCTGAGACCGGGCACCCAGTCGCCCGCTGCACGTGCAGGACGCCGCTGGTCCGCCACTACAAGGTGAAGCGCGAGGGCCCGAAGTACGTGATCGACGTGGAGGAGCCGGTGATCACTGGGGCGGGGGCTCGGGAAGCGCACGGGCGGGGTCCGCGCCCCTGCCCAGCGGCCCTAACCGGACCCCTTATCCGCTCCCAGGTCTCCTGCGCCTCGCTCCAAGCCGTGGTCAACTATTTCGTGTTGCAAACCAAGAATGCGCTGGTGCCCTTCCTCCTGGACGAGGACTACGAGAAGGTGCTAGGTGGGTGAGGACTCGGGGGCCCAGTCCCTGCCTCTCCCGCCTGCGGCTTGATGGGGACTCCCTTGGGTCAGCCCCGGGCCGGGCCGCTGCGCCTCCTCCAGGCAGCCCTCTCTATTCTAGGCTACGTGGAGGCGGATAAAGAGAACGGCGAGAGTGTGTGGGTAGCACCCTTGGCTCCCGCGGTCCTCTGCCCAGGTGATGCCCCTCCCAAGGCAGCCACTGGGGCAGAGGGTGGAGAAACCTAGGACCCACATGGTGCCCCGTGTGCCCAATCTTGTACCCAGAAATTACTCAAACCCTGACCTCTGGGGACTTCCAGGTTGTAGAGGGGGCAGACAGAGCTGGATACAGACACTCCCAGCCCTGTGGGATCGAACCTGGGGCTGGTACAGTGCCTGGAGTAGGGGAGAAGGGGGGCAGGGTAGGGGAAGGCATCCTGGAGGAGAGGGTGTTTGCTGAAGTTCGCAAAGGATTTCAGGAGGCAGAGATGGGCAGAGGGGGACAGAAGGTGCACATGGAGTAAGAACTACCCAGAGGTGGGAAATTGGGGTGGGTGTTGGGAAAGGCATGGGAGGCAGTCCAGCTTATGGGAGCAGGAGGAAGAGGTTAGAAGCAGTATGACCCGCTCTGGGCTGGGCAGATGCGGGGGTGGGGATGGGGGTGGCATATATGTATCTATTCATATGCACATGCCACAATCACCAACACAGACTGTGTGACCTGAATAATCAGACCCATGTAGACAACAGCTCCACACATGCATGAATGCATGTGGCATGATTCTGTTCCATCTAGCACACATGCATACCTTAAGCCACAATTATGTGTGCACAGCACAAATTCAGACATTTATAGACACATGAATGTACACGTGGAGACAAGTGCCCCAGCACAGACTTGAGCGTCCATGCACTGTTATGCATATTTATATTTAACTTATTCAAACTCACCCAGTGTTCATGTTTATGCTGCACAGGAACACAAACACACACACTTACAAATGGACATGTGTACAGACGCATGTGCACAGGGACACTGGCCTGCATCCAGGCATGCACACACACATTCCTGCTCAGAAGCACACAGACCCACCCTGAGGTACCCCTGCGCCATGTGGGTCCCCAAAATTCCTGCCATTTCCCACCCACCAGGTGCTGCAGCCCCTGCCGGTGGCCCCAAGCAGCCACCTCCTGTGCCCAGACAGCACAAGCTGCCCCCGCTACTGAACCCGGATGAGAACTATGTGATCCCCATTGGAGATGCCCCAGTTGCCGAATATGAGAACACGGATGGTGGGTGGGGGACAGGGGGTGGCTGAGAGAAGGGGCAGGGGGAGCAGGCTCCCGGCCGATGTGACACACCGTACCTTTGTCTGTGCAGCACTTTCGCCGGGCTGGCCCAAGCAGTGTCACCCAGCCCAAAAGGTTCAGGCAAAGCTTCCAAAGCCACCCATGGCACCTAAGCCAGGTAGGGGACCCTCTTCCCCAGCGCCTCCCCCATCCAGTGGAGGGCCATTCTCAGCCTTTATCTGCCTTCCCCAGAGCCCAAATGCCTTGCCAGCGGCCTTGCCAAGAAACTGGCCATCAGCTCAGCACAGGCTGCCTTCCCCACAACAGGTACGGGGCCTGGGGGGCCGATATGGGAGGGGTGTGCGCTTCACACGCGTGCGACCTGTGCAGTCCCACAGGACCCAGCACTCCGAAGGGCCTGTACTTGGCTTAATGCTCTGCTGTCTCCATCTCAAAATTCCTGCTGCCTCCTGAACACATTTGCATCTTGCACTGGGCCCCACATATTTCTGTAGCCAGTCCTGGGGGGGATGGGGGATGGGGGTGGGGCAGCATGGACTGGGGATGCTGGGCGCAGCTGAAGTCTAGGGTACCCACCCGCCAGGGTTGGCCAACGTGACAGCAGAGCTGGAAGAGAAACTGCAGAGGCGGCGGGCACTGGAACACTCAGCCGAGCACCCTGGGGATTAGCGGGCCAGACTCGGAGCATCAGTCCGACGGATCCCTCCCCCCAGAATTAAAGTTCAAGTGACCCAAGGCCCATGAGTGTGACTTGGCTTAGTGGGGCCGTGAGGTGTTTGTTCATCAGCTGGCTCCATTCACTCCTAAAGATCCTCAGCTCAGCAAAAACTGCCATCTCACTTTGCCAGAAAAGCCCATTTTGCAGCTGGGAAAGCTGAGGTCCAGAGAGGGCCGAGGCACAGCCAGTGTCGGATGCTCTACAAGAACCAGCAGCACACCCGGCCAGTGTGTGACCTTTATTGGGAAGTGAGGTGGGGAGGAGGGCCTGCCCTGGTGCCTGCTTCCTGTTGGTGACCCCCGTTAGGAGTTAAGGCTCCAAGCAGCAAGCGAGAAGAGGGTGCCTGGCTGAAAACAGCCGAGGCCTGGTGGTGGCCCCCTAAATCAGCCCAGCTGGGTGCACTGGCCTAGGTGAGGCTGGTATTGGAGCTGCTGGTGGCACTGCCTCGCTTCTGCAGGCAGCGCACGGAGCTGGGGACCTGCAGGCCTGTCGTCACCTGAAAGCTGCCACACCAAACCTGGGAGACAGGGAGGGGAGAGAAGAGGCTCGGCAGCAAAGTCATCCCCCAGAGCCACACGCACCCCCACCTCAGGCCGTGGAGGGGACCTTACTGTGAAAGCAGGCAGCAGTGGCTGAGTGAACTTGGCCTTGAAGGTGTGCAGCAGCTGTTTGGTGCGGGCGTTGTAGAAGGACAGGAGGCCTGGGTGGAGGGCAGAGGGACGGGGGGACCAGTTAGAGGGTTTGCGGCAGAGAGATCAGACAGGCAGAGGTGGCTGGAGATGCCAGCTGGGGCCCCGGGTCACCTTGGTGGAAGTCGCAGTGCACGCCCAGGCAGTCAGGCACGGGGGCATCCAGCACCTTGGCCTTGTTGGCATGCTTGGCGGTGAAGCTGACCTGCAGCCAGTTGTTGATGTGCAGGCACCAGGACGCCGCGGTCTTGCCTAGCTGCTCGAAGCGGCCCAGGCTGCGGTAGGCCACCCCCACGCCAAATGCCTTGCTGTCTGGCTCGTAGTGCACCTCCCAGTAATGTTCCCCGCCGTCAATCAACGTGTCCCCTGTGGGGCAGGTTGGGCAGTGAGAACAGGTAGAATAGGGTCCCAGGTGTTCTTCCACAAAGGGGCAGCCACGTAGGTACTCCCCAGACCACAGTTATTCCTTCCAGATACTCCTAGGTCCCCAGCTATTCCTCCCAGATATTTCCCAGGATTTATCAACTTCCTTAGATACTAAGTCCAGATTCTCTCCAAGCTTCCACTAGTCCTTTCAGATTCTCTACAAGTACAAGCTACTCCTTCCAGATTCTTCCAGGCCTAAAAAACTCCTTCCAACTCCCCATGTTCAGTTACTCCTCAGTCCTCAATTCTTCCTAGAAACTAGATAATCCCCAAACCTTTGCTCCTGGCTGATTCCAAGTATTCCCTACTGGAGCCCAGATACTTTCCAGGACTCCAGACTCCTTGTTGCTTCCCAGACTCCAAGTTTGCTCCTGGTGGAGATCAGGTTCTTCCAGGCCTCAGCTTTTCCTGGGGTTCAGATCCCCTCCAGATATCAGCTGAATCCTGAGTCTACATCCTTTCCAGACCCCAGATCCAGATTCTTGCTACCTCAGCTACTCCCCATTCCAGCTATTCCTGAGTTTCAGCTTCTCTGAATATTCCTGCCCTACCCAGATCCCAGCCCATCTCCAGCTGAGAGCTCAGCCCCTCCCCCAAAACAGGACTAACTCCAGATACATTTCTTCTCCAGGTCTACTCCTCCCTGACCTCAGCTACTCTCCCAACCACAACTAGTCTATGCTCCTCCCAGGGGTTAGATAGCTCCCTCTCAAATCTCAGACACTCTACAGACACCCCCACACCTTCCCCTGCTTCCTCTCCAAACCCTAATTCTGGATAATCTCAGATGCTTTCCAGAAAATCCAAATCCTCCATAGAACTTTAACTTCTCCTCAGGCCTTAGCTTATCCCCAAAATCCAGCTACTCCCTACCTTCCTCTACCTTCTACCCCCTGATAGTACTGACCACACCAACTTCTCCAAACCTCAGCCTCTTTCTTGAGCTCTTTTCTGGATAGTGGTGATTTCCCTAAACTCCAATTCCTTCACGGACTCCGGCTTCTCCTTCAGAGGATCTAATCACTCCTGTAGTGCTAACCAATTCTCCAATCCTAGGTATCCTCAACTTCTCTGACACCAGCTACTTTCTCTGGCTCCTCCAGCTGCTTTATAGGCAGTCATTTCCTTTCCAGCTACTTCCCAAATCCCAGTTACTCCCCCAGTCCCAACTATTTGACAGACCCAGGAAATCCCCCCTCAAGCTCCCGACCAGCCACTCCCCAGTCCAGAGCCTCTTTCCTCAGCTCCCTAAGCTCTGGCTCCCCTCAATAATCATTCCTTCCCAAACCTTCCCATTCCACCAGCACCACAACACATTATTGGGACCATTCCCAGAGAAGCTTTGTTGATGGCTGCCTCAGTTTCCCCAGCCAAAGGAGTTCTCTCCCGCACCCCAGCATCAGAGCCCTGGCCAGAGTCCCCCACTCTCCTCCAAGCTCCCCCCTCCTTACCTAGCACCGTGTAGGACTCAGCTGTGAAGCGATCCCGTCCCCCACGACCTGAGGGTATCCTCTTGGGAGATGGAGTACCTCTGTGGGTGACAGGGAGGGGAGGGCTCAGTTCAGCCCTCCCCTCCCCATTGGAATGCTTCTCTGGTCCACCCCAGCCACGCGGACTTCTCATCAGCCCTTGACAGTATTTGGTCCTTCACATATCCTGGGCCCCTGATGTCAGAACATGCCTGTGCCCTTCCTTGTCTGGAAGACTGTTCGGCCCTCAATACCCAGTTCAAAGACTCCTCTCCCTCGATTCACTATTTTGGCTCCCCAGCTCCACGTCCCGCCCTCCACCCCAGCCTTGACCTCACTGGGTCGTGTGTTCGTGTCCATCTTGACCTCCTCTCCCAGAGACTTGGGGAGGAGAGGGGCAGGCTACCTGGCTGGGGAGTTGACGGGAGACGCCGTCCGCCCCTTGCCGTCTTTCTCTCGAGCTTTGATGTCCTGCACCTTCCCGCCCATGGCGTCCCACTCCACGGAGAGATCGTCCACCCGGAGGTTCTGGTGGGATGTGGACGCATCCAGGCGGAACATGAACGCTGGGGCCGGGCAGACGTGGGAGTCACAGAGATGGGGAAACCCGGAGAGACACAGAGACAGAGAGAGACAAACAGTGACCAAGACAGACCATGACGGGGACAGAGAACAGAGAGAGAGAGAGAGAGACACCGATAAAGTCTCAGAGACAGACAGATGCAGAGACGACAGGCAGAAAGACACCAAAAGACACAAGACGGGGAAAAGGGAGGGGCAGACCATACAGCCAGAGGAGTAAGGCCAAGGGCTTGTTGTCTAAAGGCTCCCAGGCCTGGAGCCATTTGCAAACCACTTGTGCTGCCCTGTGCTTCCGTTGGGGATTAACCCCAGGAAAGGGGGTGGGCAGCAATATGACAGTTAAGCTGCACTGACAAAGGCCATGCACTAAGGAGTGTGTGTCCGCAGCGCAGACAGGCTTCTAGGCCGTGTTCCATATCTGAATCCAAGCCTTCTGGGTGTCTCCTAGCTCTGAAGGCTAAGAAGTCTGTCTGCACTGCGGACACACCGTCCCCAGTTCTATAGAGCACTTACTGGGGGGAGGGGGAGAGAGGAAGTGAGTGTGTGTGTGTGTGTGTGTGTGTGTGTGTGTAAACCATCCAGGTATTCAGGGATCAAGAGCAAAAGTAAAGGACAAAGGCAGGTTTTATACCAGACACTCAGGCTGCGGAATTCTACTGTGGACTAAGCTCTGAGCTTTCTGGCAGCCAGAAAGGGAAAAAGGGCCACCACATCCTGAAGATTCTCACTTCACACCTGTCCCTGGGCCCCGGGAGGGAGGGTTGTCGTCAGAGCCAGGGTAGGTGTGGGAGCCAGTCACCTGGTGTCTCCAGAGTCACCGGCTCGGAGAACTCGCCTGCAACTGCCTTATTGCAGGCCTTCACGCGGAAATTCATGTATTTCATGTCGAACTTGAGGCCTAGGAGACAACAGAGGGAATCAGCATAGACTCGGAGCAGGAGGTTAGAGGCCCCTGTGTCCCACAGTAAACCCGCCGCAGTAAACGCCTCATTCTAAGGAGCACCTTGCAAACGACATCTTACCTGAGAAACCTTACCCGCATACACCTGTGCAGCTATGAATTACCTGGCTCTGCACCTGACCCAGATGGGCCAGTCTTCCCTAGGACTCTGGCTGGTATTAGAGGGAGCAGGGCAGAGCGGCTTTCTTCTCTGGGCCGGCCAGCTCGGAGGAAGTGCCTCCAGGGAAAATTGTCAGTGCTCTTGGCTAGTCTCCTGGAGAATGCAAGTCCCAGAGCCAAAAAGTGCACCCCCTGGATCTAGGTGTACCTGGTGACGTATGAAAGATTTTCCCTTCTACTAGGCTATATCTCGCCCTCCCTTCTGTCCTTTTCTTAAGATTGCTTCCGATCTTTAAAAAGAAGCTTTCGAGCTGTCTTCCCCCTCAAGTTAAACCTCTTTGGAGAGCTTAGGAACACCCCCTTCGCTGCCCCCTCAACCTGCTTCTCCCCCCCCCCCCTCCGCCTTGTCAGTCCCCACCTTGCAGGACCTCCTCAGTGACCACTCTTTCCCTCCTAAGAACACTATTTTTCCTTGGCAACCAGAGCACTGCCCTCTCCTGGCTGCCCCTTCTGGTTGCCCCCGCTTGGTCTTTGCAGGCTCCTTCCCCCCTCACCACCTCTCCCGGGTTCCCACCCAAACTGCCTCATCCCTCTTTGGATTCCCTTCACTGAATTCAGGGGTTTGCTCAGCAACGCCATCTACTGCTCCAGAGCTAAGACTGCCTCCCAGAAAGCTCACATTCAAATATGGGAATGGGCTAGTGGTCGGCAAACTGCGGCTCGCGAGCCACACTCGGCTCTTTGGCCCCTTGAGTGTGGCTCTTTCACAAAATACCGACTTCTGCGCATGGGC